AAATAATTATAATTCTAATTTATAAATAATGATATAATAATAATTTAAGTCAATATTAAATAAAAAATGGAGCAGATAGATAATTAATAAGCAACATTTGTTATAAATATAATATAGATTATTAGTAGATGAATCTAGATGCATCATATAAAGTGTATTTTTGTTTAGATGTATTTGGTAATTCTAAAATAAAAAATATTGGATAATATACATGATAATATATATATTAATGTTGTAATTGTATTTTTTAATTAAAAAAGTCAATTAAAAATCATTCAAATTCTTATTGAACAACTTTAAATAATATTAATAAATGAAGAAACTCATTAAATGAATAAAAATAAGCATTTATTTTTAAAAAATTATTAAGCAAATATTGAGAACTAGAAGACAATGTAATTACTTGAATTACTAATAAATAATTTACTTACTCAATAAACATTTTGTAAGCCCATAAACCTGTCATATATTATTTTATCAAGGGTGTAGTGTCTTAGATAAATTTATCAATCATAAGAATTTGCTATAATTATTATATAGGTATTATATAATAAGGAAAGTCTTCATTTTAAGGCTGAGACAGAAGTTGTACATGAAATAGAATGAGAAAGGAAAAGTTATCTATGTTTTTAAAGTATTGATGTATTAAACAAATAGAATAGTGAGGAAATTTTTGATTTTATTATTTATACATTTTTGATGGATATGAAATAATTAATTTTAAGGCGATTGGTTGTCAATAAAAAAACAGTCCAATAATTTCTAAAAGATATTAAGAAAAATAAAATTATGTTAAAACAATTGTTTATAATGTATAGATTAGAATAGCTCTGGCTGAAAGTTAAGTTTAAATCTATGAAAAATTACAAGCTTCAAATTATAATTCTCATTCAATATCATTAAAATAAATTTTGTAGAAGAGATCAGAAAATTTTTGAAAGAAATCCATGTATTATCGAAATCTGAATAAGAACTATTGCAAAGTGAAGTATTCATTATTTAAAAAAGGGATTGATTATTAAAGCTTTTTTGTTAGCTTTTATTTTGAGTAAGGCTTAAAATTGCTATAGGGGATTTATCATCAAATAAACAGCCTGAAGATGAATGTGAAATTAGAAATTTCAGCAGATATTCCTAATTTCAAAATATCAATAAGACATTTGGATTAGAGAGAGAACTTAATGATCATGAAAAGAATAGCTATTTGAAATTAGATTTGTTACTAAACTATACCATATATATTGAGCTATTATTAAATAATATTGATATTTATTATAGTAAATGTTAATGAAGTCCCTTTTTAATTTTTAAAAAGCAAAAAAAGGCATAGGTGGAATAGATGGATAAGTAGGGGTTTAATAAAGTGTATCCAAGTAATCCATTTTTTAATTTTAGAATCAAATGCCTCATCAATCCAAATTCGAACAGAAAAGATTCAATACAAGATTAGAAACAATTATGAAATTCACTCAAAAATGCTGGATACTACAAAAATACATTTCAGATATTCAAAAATACATTTAAAAAGAATATATTAGGTACAATATTCATAAAATAATTCAACTTTCTTTTCCAATATAATAATTTTATTTTGAAAATCTTTCTGGAGTTTAAATTGCTCCATTACATTAGACAGCTATCCATAAAGCAAACATTGATACAAAGAAGACAATGTATCCAGTTAATTAATTAGAAGTGACTGTGTATATCTATTTATATAATAATTTATTTACAGTATTTGAAGTTAGTTCGTTTTCATCACCTAACTCGACGGCTATAATTTAATCAGAGGGCTAAAACAATGATTTATCAATATATACTTCTGAAGTTTCAGTAATTTCTTCTAAAACCTTTACATTTGAAGATATCTTTGAAAATAACACAATTAAGATAGCATCTGATTGTTAAGCAAATTTATCAAGTGCTTTAAGATTTTAAAAGTTCATTGGGATATTTTATACTTCAACCTTGAATAAATAAAGCAAATTACTTAATTATCCTTTTAGAGTCCTTAAGAAAACTGGATTGAAGAATAATCTACAAATGGGGAAACAAAAGTGGATTTAGATTTTAACAATTTTTTAAAATTCTTTAA